TCGAAATGCCAACCTCTCAAAAATGGACTGCTTGAAAAAAACAACCCTTCCAAGGTCAAGTGCCTTCAAATCACATTTCCATTTATGACGGATTTGTCCTTACCTTGGGTATAATGACTGGATTTTGAGAGGCTCTTCACTTTATTAGATGTCCCTCTTATTAGGGATTTTTTATTTGAATTCCTGTGAAACTCCTTTCAGTTCGTGAAGCAACTTCATAATTCGAGAAACGCTAAATGAGTCTCATTCTTTTACATCTTTTCACTGAGGTTTAATTAACTCGATGAGGGCTCTGCGTCCTCTGGATGATGTCACCCGGAGGAAAGATTGGACAATTATAGACTCCCAATGTCTCTGTTACTGCATAAAGTTGGGAGCTATCTACCGGTCTATCCATCTATCTATGGAAACATGCATACACATAGCTGATGCACACACATGTACCTTTACCCTGAAGGTGTGTGCATTAGCTTTTCATTATCATAAGTAATGGGAGTGGTTCCCCACCCTTAAAATGCCATTAGCCCCTGCTTTACTCCCCCTCTTCCTCCCCCTCTTCCTCCCCCTCGTCTCCCCTCTTCGCCCTTCCCGATTCCTATGCCAAGCACTGTGATTAGCTTTATGGAGCGAAGGGCTGAAGGCAGAGAGGAAAATGCTACAAATGATATTACTTTGAGCCTCAATAAGCATACGACACATGACATTATCATCACGCCCGACGAAGACTCCGGGGAGCCTATCAAACGCCGGGATCCGCATTGCGAAGCCCCCCTCCGTGTGATTGGATAAGCCCTCTTCCCCCCTCCCTAGAGCCCTGGTGGGATATTTACTGATAGTGGGTACACAGTGGTGGGGCTCCCTTAGTGTCACGTCAGCAGTTCACTGGGCGAGCACCTGCTGGTTTGTCACACGCGAGATTAAATTACATGTTGGCGGAGCGGCGATCGTGCGCGGTGGAGATCAGTGAGGAGTCGATGTTACTCAGTGAACAGAGAGCCAGAGGCAATTAAACTTAGATATGACCTTCAATTTGTCAATTCAGGGGAGACATGTCCAGGTCGCGTCTGAATTCTGGCATTTAGTCCTATCAAGCATGTATTATCATTCTTTCAATTGATGGACTTTTTTTCCAACAACCAAAGTAACAACTGAGTACCATTGATAGTTCTAATTGGCCACTTTCTGTTTAAAACATCTTCAAAGTACAGTGTCCAATTCTCCATACATCCTGATTCACTATGCTAAGCTAAACTGACAAGCTGCTAGTTACAGCTTCATATTTACCGGGCAAAAAGGAGATCATACTTAGGGCACCATTTTGTATTTATTTGCCGGTTATATGGTACTGATATTAACACATTTTGGTCATTGTACGCACACATTTTGCATAGAACATCAAGTGCAATCAACATACAGTATATAATGACAACTGTAATAGAGATTTCCTTCTGGCAGATGCAGCATTAAATGGGTCCTATAATGCTAATTCTCAGGTTCATATTTGTATTGAGTGTGGGAGAGTAACTCCCTCTGGAGGAAATTTGGGGATTTTTGCCTTTGGGAAAACCCCAAAAAGAATAATAGTACCACCCTAACATATAATACTTTACATAATGAATAATGGATTGGCGAAATGTTAAAGAAAACTACTTCAAGTAAATTTCATTTCAGTGTCGTTATATTCTGAAAACAATGAGGTTTTGATATTAACCGTGAAGTGAACATGATACGTTGTGCGTTAGTGTTGTCCAAAGACAACTCAATAAGGCTTAAGTGGTAAGTATAAAAACAAACACGTCTGTATTTAAATGTAGTAGTATGATATTCAACTGATATGTGTGCGCGTGCTCCTCATGCAAACATGTATTACCATAAACCCATTTGGTGCGACATGATTTTTTTCACAGCAGACATGCAGCACAGTTTACATGTATTTGCACAAGTGTGTGTACATTTCTGTGGCTCCCCATGTGTTTGTTTTCACGAAGCTCTCTGTGATCCATGGATATGTATGCACATTCAAGCGCTGCATTAGTGTGTTACATGCCTCTGACTGTGTGTGTGTGTGTGTGTGTGTGTGTGTGTGTGTGTGTGTGTGTGTGTGTGTGTGTGTGTGTGTGTGTGTGTGTGTGTGTGTGTGTGTGTTGCACGGTTACCATTTGTGTCTGCTAATATATGCCCAATGTACACATGTATATATATTTTTTACATATTTCTGCGAATCAACTTAGCTTCTTAGTGACTGAAATTGTACAAAAAGAGTAAAAGTTGTTGGGAAATTGCTTTTATTTAGGAATAGAGATTCATCATTTTCCTATTCCATCTATCACACAGACATAGAGGAAAGACAAACCACAGCCAGCAAGATGGGAGAGACAGATAGAATGTGTTGAGTAGACCGAGACAATTTGGCAATTGCAACAATGGTCTCACAGATAGAGCTGATTATAGCCAGACTTGCCAATGAGGGCTGCATGCTGGAGAGACAGATTCGAGTTGTAACCTGGAAGAGATGGAGGGGGGTGAGGAGCTTGATGAGGATTGCATTGAGCCAGTGAACAATGGGGAGAAGGAAAAAGGCCCCGCCAGAAACGGAAATGGATAAATCAGGTTGGGAGGGAGAGAAAGAGGGAGTGAGAGAGAATGATAGAACATGTACTAACGAGACAATGGATGAAAAGGGAACACATTGAAGACCCAATGGGGCCATGTATGTTGTAGTCCAGTTAGCTTTATGTGAATATCTGCAAACAACTTGTCTTCAACTTTGAAAATTGTATTCACGCTCGGAGAGAGCTGGAAGTTGTGAAGGTGATAATCAGGTGTAATCAAGGCTAGCTCTGGACGCCTGATTCTCTTTGGCAGGGAACAAAGAAACACTTGCCAGAGGTAGAAAGGTCAGGTGCAGAGGATGCAAGAGATGGGTAAATAGGAAACGTAAGCACTTCTTTAAATTAACAAACTGTGCCAACGTTTCTGTACGCCCAAAGGTTGTCATTCCTGCAACCTCACTGCATTTTATGTCACTGACACTCTCTTATGCTAGTGGCGACAACTTTTTGATCTCGGTGCAAGGTGCTTCTCAATCTAACAAGAACAACACAAAAAATACTTAAGACTTTAGGCAAAATGAACACAATGCTGACAAATGATTATAATATTAATATTATATAATATATAATATTCTCTTGGAGTTACTGTAACATGGCAAACTTGTTATAAAAAAAGTACCCTTTTTAAAGATTTAGCCTGATACAGACAAATATTAGCTTTCATTTGCAGTATTGATTCTGGTCACCTGGTGAATAAAAGTCTAGTGTTTGTCACGTAAAAAAGTTATTGTCAGATTCAACTAATTTGTATTCCGTTCTTTTACCGTACTTTAAAAACAATCACAAACATTGTAAAGGTAAATGTAGTTCTGATTTTCACAATTGCTGGGTCAAGACCCCAAAGTGATTTGAATACTAATGTCTTGTTCTAATGTATCTACATGCTGAGTGAGGAAACCTTTTGCAATACTGACTGGCACTGTATTAAAGTTTCCATGGGTTTTTCTATCAATTCTCATAATAACCATTTACCATTTTGCTGTTCCAACCTTCTCATTTTTTGAAAGAGTATCTTGTTTTGTCACCCACAAAAACAGACATTCTTCTGTTGAAACTATAGTTCAGGTTTGTGTCCACTGGAGTAATGAGGGGGGTGAAACATAGGCAAAAGTATGCAACACTACACTCCTTCACCTTGAAATGGCAGTGCTCCCCTTGATAAAAGGCTAATAAGCCTAATCAGGCCTGATTAATTACATCGATAGGCACTGCGTTTGCCAGCTTATTTGATGGCTTTATCTGTGTTGTGCACCGGGCTGAGGCGATGATGGTGTTCCTCAGGAGGACCTGGAAACATTTCGCACAAGTGAAGGTTACTGGTGCTAGAAAAAAAGAAGGTGGGATGTTTCTCAGGGCGTACAGAGCAAAGAGTTGACTGAAGTCTGAAGGGCAATGAAACATGTCTGAGGGCTTGTGTCAGGATTTGGTGATAAATAGATAAGATATTGTGACCTTTAAATGTGTGCTCTATGCTGTTTTCTCAGCCCAGAATGACCCTTTACTAGGACCTGTGCCGTGTCAGTCTCTGGAAAATAAAGTCCAGAAAGTGTCTGTCCCCCTCTGAATAATAACACATGTACTGAGGCTTGAATTGGACTCTTGAGAATAGCAATCATTCTCCTCTGAGGCCCTTTTCAAATCCCATTCTTTTAGTCATTACAAGAGAAATCAATGTGGTCTTAATCACAGCCGTTAACCTGTGCAAGGGATTGAACTGCTGCTGCAGTTTTATTGAAAATAACAATTATATATTCATTATCAGTTTGAAGCAAATGTCAGTGTGGTGGATTGAGAACTGGTTCAGGTTTGAGATCACAATTCAAATGAGGTAGGCACATTATAATGTTGACATCAAAATGATTACAATGCACCTGATATTCTGCAGTGATGGACCTGGACAGCAAGAAACATCTGTGTTCGTCAAGTTTAAATTGCAAATATAAAAACAGAAAGATAGATGACACTTGTATAAGTTGTTACAAGTTCACTTGTTTCATAAATCTACATAATTGGATGTAGTTTTACTCCCTCTGTTTGTGTGTGTTTAGTTCATTTACATTTAAACATACAAAACATCATGTACGCCTCTGGGTTCTCTTAATTTCGTTTAGAACCACTTGAGAATCCCTTTGTTGCCTTTTGTTCTGCATTAACTACAGCCTCTGCAGGCTTTCTCCCTATGTGGTACCTCAGACATCACAGCCTTTGGGATGCAGGGAGCCATGTGTTCTATATTTATCTTACTTTATGATTTATTAATAGTCTCCCCAGTATGCGCAGTACTAAAAATACAGTGGAGGCAGAGCACCACATTCAGCATCTGGCTAGGAAAGGAGTATGCGAGCTGAGCAATGATTTGTCAACTCAGCAGCTTTCTGCTGTAACATCATGCACGTCTGGGATGATCCAGGGTTTCAGGTTACCTCGCTACGCAAACTACTCTCTGACTCAGCACTTGAGTGACCCACCTATCCTATACATTGATTACACAATTCAGCAAGTGTTTCAATCAGTGTTTATTAGTGTTTAAATTGTGCGAGAAATCTCATCACTTTTTCTCTTTTTTTCTTCCTAGTATGAATACTTCAATGCGGTGTTGATCAATGAAGTTGACGAGGAGGGGAACAGCGTTGAGCTTGGAGGAGAATTCCTCCTGCAGCCCAATGACCACTTCAACAACCTGTCAGTCAACCTGAGTCTCAGCACGGTCCAGGTGCCCACCAACATGTACAACAAAGGTATGTTGACTACCTCCAATTTATCTCACAGTCACTCTCGTTTTATGTCCCTGGACGTGCCCTGAGGTCCTCTTCAGCTGGCTTTTTAAATATCCCTAAAGTCCCCCAAAATAAAATGGGTGAGTCCGCTTTTATCCATTACGCTCCCAAACTGTGTAACACCCTTCCAGGAAACATCAGAGAGGCCAACTCAGTGGACATTTATAAACGACAGCTAAAGACACATCTTTTTAGATTAGCTTTTTTTTATCAACCCCCCACTTTAAATGTACTTTTAGTCTTTATTATTTACCTACCTGTTTTATTTATTTTATAGGTTTTAATTTTTAATAAAAAATAGCTTTTTATTTCTATTTCTGTTGTACCTATATGTTCACTTTGTTTTATGGGGTTTTATATTATATTTTGTATAGTTGCATCGACTCAGTTGTCTTGTGTCTTATCTGTCAGAGAGAAACCATTATTTATTTTGTTTTATTTGTATTATCATACATTTTACCTCCTTGTGTCCATTAACCTGATAACATTTTATACTTTGCTGCATGTACCTTTTAAAGTGCTTAACAAATAATCTGAGGGGAATTTCTTGTTGTTTGTTTTTAACTGGTGATGTGTCATTTTGTAAAGCACTTTGAGCTGCACGTGTTGTATGAAAAGTGCTATATAAATAAAGATTTATTATGATTATTATTATTATGATAAAGGTGTAAAAAAACACATCATGACCATAACATATCATGTACATCTTAGCCTCCCATGACCAGATATTTTTGCTGAATTCTTCAATAATTTGGATTAGTAAAATCCTAACAATCCATACTACAGTTATTATGTGTGCATGTGGATGTGTCCAGAAGAGGATTTGAGTTCATTAACTGTAACTCTTTGGATCATCCCTGCCACACACTGACTTAATTAGCAGTAAAATAATCAGACATTCTGCTAATTTACCATCCACTCAAGTCCAACCCATAAAGTCATGGCCTAGCACAATGCTCAGTGGACAGAGTGAATGTCATGTCGGCTTAAGCCAAGCTACCAGAGGCGAAGAAATTATATGGAGGGAGAGGAAAAGAGGGATAAAGCAAATGAGATAGAAAGTAGGTTAAGTCAGACTGATGGAAGGTCTGAGCAACAGATTAATTATAGCTAGGTGGAAAAAAGGGAGAAAGCAAGTGAGAGCGACAGGAGGAGAGTGAATGAAATGGAAAGGAATTGAATGAAAGGGCTAGGAGAGTGAAGCTGGCAGGCCGATTCAGGGAGAGGAAGAGACACACACACACACACACACACACACACACACACACACACACACACACACACACACACACACACACACACACACACACACACACACACGTCCCCAATGTGGTGGCTCTCGATCGATGCCGTGCCTTGTCTGCCACTCTCTTGCTCACAGTGCCGGACTGTAAATCACATAGATAAGCCTAGATCTATAAAGTACATGACCTGAAGCCCTCCTGAGCGCACACATACACACACGCATACACACACATACACACACACAGGATGGATGGCTTGCCAAAAGCAGCTTGAGCACTGAAGGAGCAACAGAGGAAAAAGAATATCACCTGCGGCATCAATCTAAATGCTGGGGGTCTACACAGCAAAAACAATACACTCGCATGCAACCTCTTAACATGATATAATGAGCAAAAAGCTCCAATAATGGATGAATATTGACAACATTGCAGACACTCTGTAACAAATGTATGCTTGTATTGTATTCACGATGGCAAGAGAGATATTGTTAATTGGTTAATTTGGAATAATCTAGCACATATGCTAGCTGCACTACACAATTACGCAGACAATTGAATGCTGCTAGATTTAAAGGAAAGGTACTTTCTTCTAGAATAGAATTTAGACAGGAGGAACCAATATGGAGAAAAAGAACACTTCCCTTTAATGAGAGGTGCACTTAGGGACTAGAAGAGGTTAACTGTTTGCAGTTTCTCCTCACATCTGAATTTAAAACTGGTCTGGAAATTCTTATGCGGTCTCTATTTTAAAAAGGAGAACTGTTCAAATCCAGGCGAACTAAACTTGAAAGCGGCAGCAATTCCATTCAAATGAATTGAATTTGGAAAAATATCCCAAACTGTGGTGTGACCAGACACTAAAGCTGCTAAGAGGTGTATTTAGTTGGAGCCCTTTTTCATATCTCTATCTCTCTCTCTCTCTCTCTCTCTCAGGCTTTTCAATAAAACAAAATGAAGCCCAGAAGAAAAGCAAGGAAATCAGGGAACGACTGAAAACGAAAAGATAATAATTGGGCTGTTTGAAAACCGACTTTAGAATTTGAGATGAGATTTGAGTGAATTGAAAGGTGGGATATCACGTCTAACAAAATACATAAGAATCATGGAGACATGGGAGGCCATGGGAAGCTGGGAGATGCATAGATGAATGGATGGAGAGAATCTGGGAGGAGTGACCGGCCTGGACTGGCCTGTAGTTTTCAGCAGTAGGAGCAGCTTGTGTGGCAGCAGGACGACTGTCACCGCTGCCTGCCAACAGCAGACACGCTGGTGCCGCGAGCCGTCCACCTGCCACTCAAAAGCGGGAGAGTTTGTTTTAAACCCCTTGCAGGCTCATTGTTACCATGGCTTTGGAAAGAGGATGGAGATCTCCCCACTCATAAACGAGATATAAACAAGGCTGTTAAATGTGCCTTCATGTGTAATTACACAACCATTCGTCTTTTGCCGTGCATTTTTGATGTGATTGCATCACTTGTGTTGGCGGAGATGTTTCTTTTTGAACACTCGTCCAATGCTGCACCTGCGGAACGACTCGCTGAGACAATGTTCCAACCACTTCAACGTGAGGCCCAATAATTAGCCTGTCGGAGAGCAGAGTGGGAGTGGAGCCTGGCTGGCTGTTAGCACACAAAGCAACAGTCGACAGCTCTGTGCTTGTGTGAATGTGTGTGAACCGCGAGGGGTACCATTCCTCGCAGCCTGTTCTGACCGCCCTACCATCTGCGGGCATGCCGGGTGCCCGCCTGTTGGCCCTCCTATGCCAGGCACTTTGACGTGGTTGCATGGTAACAGGTCTGCGAGAGTGGCTAGAAGCTGCTCGGGCCAAATGGCTTCAGCAAAACACGGATTTCAGCCTGGGAGTAGTAAAATATACATTCATATTCATGCTTTGAGTGATACATTTGATGTGGGACCTCAAAGATTGAACAAATAACACTAGAAATGATCCATCAGGCATGTCAGGTAGTTTATGAACCTTTCCCACCATTAGCAGTACTGCATAATCTCTGGCTCGTATATTCTATGATTACTCTATCAGACTATTGCAATGCTTCTTGGCATTTCCCTCATCACTAGCATTGTTTACAACATCATGGCTAGCACTGTTTGTTTGTCTGGATCCAACTTGTTCAGTTGTGGCGCTGTCCAGGGTTCTGAAACGAAGCGAGATCAAATGACAGAACGCGGCTACTAAGACTGCTTTTTGTGGCTATATAGAGAAAGAATAAGAATGCTATAAGATGCTAACAGATGTCTTTAGCGGGCCATTAATAACTGTTTCCATGTACCACAAACAGCTGTTTCTACGCATCACAGATAACTTTAACTACGCATTGTTTCTACGTGCTGTCAAAACGGTTCAATTTCAAAAGCTATTCTTTTTGTTTTCAAAGACAAATTATTCTTGGATCATATAAATGAAGTCTTATCTTATTCCATTTCTTCATATCTCTTCATTTTAAGAATATCTGAGTTAATCCACCACATCTCTCCACTGCATACAGATTGTTATTCAAGGCAGACTAAATCAGTGGTGGACAGTATAAGCTTTGAAGAGATAAGACTAGAGCTATTCTTGTGCAGTGAACAAGTGAGAATACAATTTATTTTCCCGTTCACAAACAAAATGAGACTCCCCCCGTTAGAAAATATGTCTCCCTCACCACGTCTCTCACACATTCAGACACACATACGGCATGGGGCAGCTGTCTGCAAATAAAATAAGATGGCGAAACGGTGGCTCGATCATCCGTGGCTCCATTTTACTCAGCGGCGCCACAGGAAAATTAATTGCGCTAATTGAGTAACAGAGTTCATCAAACTGGTATTCTCATTTTCCAGATTCATTAGGCACTCTCTTTGTGAGAGCGCCTCCGAGGTGACGCTGTCTGCGCGCCAGCTGAAAGTCGACAGCACTGCTAGTGGGATCAAACTCAAAAACTGCCCGAAATAAATTCTATGACAATATCATTTTTGATTTTCACTCCTATTTAAAAGTTGTGGCAAGCAAACACGTTTCGTTAGTTAAAGTGAGCTGCAGTATGCCTGCTGTCAGTTCTCTCACCAAGGGTTTCCTTTGCAGTGGATTTCACACAATAGCAGTGTGTTTGTGCAAGTGTTTGTGACACGGAATTACAATGCGAGACAAGCATTGAGAAAGGGTTTCCCCGCCGGTGTTTGAAAGTGTGTAGATCTCTCTTTGCAAGTATCTGTGTGTGTGCACTGTACATGTCACTGGGGGCGCGCTAAGGCTGATACGTGTTGGGGCTCACACACACTGCAGCAGCCATCTGCACAGGGAAAACAGCTCGGGGCTGATCTGGAAAAAGTCTACATCGAGAGTAGGTATGTCTGTTTGCTGCACAGTTGCTGCCAAAATGTAATGTTATTTAATAAACTGGGGAGAATTGAACATTTCAGCTCTAACACAGTCTGTCAGACTGCTTACACAACTAAGTGGCACCAACAGCAGTGGGCAGGCTTCTTTTCACGTTGCAGGTGGATCTCTGAAGATTTATGGGAAAATAACGGCTGATATGATGATAAGCCTCTATCATAAACTGTGATAGCATTTCATTGTAATTTACACACAGTTAAAGGGACCCGATTTGTCTTATTGGGGTTTTCCTTTCCCTGTAGTGTGTCATATAGGTTTGTGTGCATGTAAATGGTCTGCAAAGACTCCAATCCCTGTGTTCCTTCCAGATGGAGTTT